TTTCCTAAAGCCTCCTTGTTCATCTGCTATCCTATTCTCCGTCTTACTCTTAATTCTTTCAATAATAACTCTACCATACACTTTGCCAGGTATACTCAACAGACTTCTCCCCCTATAATTTTTGCACTCTCTTTTATCCCCTTTGCCTTTATACAAAGGAACTATGCATGCTCTCTGCCAATCCCTAGGTACCATACCCTCTTCCATACATTTATTAAATAATTGCACCAACCATTCCAAAACTATATCCCCACCTGCTTTTAACATTTCTATCTTTATCCCATCAATCCCGGCTGCCTTACCCCCTTTCATTTTACCTACTGCCTCACGAACTTCCCCCACACTCACAACTGGCTCTTCCTCACTCCTACAAGATGTTGTTCCTCCTTGCCCTATACACGAAATCACAGCTTCCCTATCTTCATCAACATTTAACAATTCCTCAAAATATTCCCTCCATCTTCCCAATACCTCTAACTCTCCATTTAATAAGTCTCCTCTCCTATTTTTAACTGACAAATCCATTTGTTCTCTAGGCTTTCTTAACTTGTTGATCTCACTCCAAAACTTTTTCTTATTTTCAACAAAATTTGTTGATAACATCTCACCCACTCTCTCATTTGCTCTCTTTTTACATTGCTTCACCACTCTCTTAACCTCTCTCTTTTTCTCCATATACTCTTCCCTCCTTGCATCACTTCTACTTTGTAAAAACTTCTCATATGCTAACTTTTTCTCCCTTACTACTCTCTTCACATCATCATTCCACCAATCGCTCCTCTTCCCTCCTGCACCCACTTTCCTGTAACCACAAACTTCTGCTGAACACTCTAACACTACATTTTTAAACCTACCCCATACCTCTTCGACCCCATTGCCTATGCTCTCATTAGCCCATCTATCCTCCAATAGCTGTTTATATCTTTCCCTAACTGCCTCCTCTTTTAGTTTATAAACCTTCACCTCTCTCTTCCCTGATGTTTCTATTCTCCTTGTATCCCATCTACCTTTTACTCTCAGTGTGGCTACAACTAGAAAGTGATCTGATATATCTGTGGCCCCTCTATAAACATGTACATCCTGAAGTCTACTCAACAGTCTTTTATCTACCAATACATAATCCAACAAACTACTGTCATTTCGCCCTACATCATATCTTGTATACTTATTTATACTCTTTTTCTTAAAATATGTATTACCTATAACTAAACCCCTTTCTATACAAAGTTCAATCAAAGGGCTCCCATTATCATTTACACCTGGCACCCCAAACTTATCTACCATACCCTCTCTAAAAGTATCTCCTACTTTAGCATTCAGGTCCCCTACCACAATTACTCTCTCACTTGGTTCAAAGGCTCCTATACATTCACTTAACATCTCCCAAAATCTCTCTCTCTCCTCTGCATTCCTCTCTTCTCCAGGTGCATACACGCTTATTATGACCCACTTCTCGCATCCAACCTTTACTTTAATCCACATAATTCTTGAATTTACACATTCATATTCTCTTTTCTCCTTCCATAACTGATCATTCAACATTACTGCTACCCCCTTCCTTTGCTCTAACTCTCTCAGATACTCCAGATTTAATCCCATTTATTTCCCCCCACCGAAACTCCCCTACCCCCTTCAGCTTTGTTTCGCTTAGGGCCAGGACATCCAACTTCTTTTCATTCATAACATCAGCAATCATCTGTTTCTTGTCATCCGCACTACATCCACGCACATTTAAGCATCCCAGTTTTATAAAGTTTTTCTTCTTCTCTTTTTTAGTAAATGTCTACAGGAGAAGGGGTTACTAGCCCATTGCTCCCGTCATTTTAGTCGCCTCATACGACACGCATGGCTTACGGAGGAAAGATTCTTTTCCACTTCCCCATGGACAATAGAAGAAATAAAGAGGAACAAGAGCTATTTAGAAAAAGGAGAAAAAACCTAGATGTATGTATATATATATGCATGTGCGTGTCTGTGAAGTGTGACCAAAGTGTAAGTAGGAGTAGCAAGATATCCCTGTTATCTAGCATGTTTATGAGACAGAAAAAGAAACCAGCAATCCTACCATCATGCAAAACAGTTACAGGATTCTATCTATTTAACATTTATTATTTTATCACACAAACTACAGTGGCTTGGTATTGCTTTTTCCCATTTCCATTACATGTTACATTTCTACTTTATATTCCATCATCCATCTATCATAAGAATTACTCAGTCAAGTCCTCCTATAGGGATTTTATTTAGCATAGGATCTTTGTGTGATCTGCATACTTATTTATATAGTTTTGGATTTTCTCTGTGAAATCAGTTGTATAAATTAGAAATACTAACTATGAAAGTACCAATCCTTGTAGAATGCCACCAGTCAAACTGGTGGCTTATTCTTCCTCTTATTACTGTTTGCAATCTTCTTTAAAAGGAAAAATATTTAAACAGAATTCTGCCTGTAAGAGAAATCTGGAAACTACAAAACATAAGAGGAATAAAAAGCAAACTGTTACAGTGGATGATAATTTGTTTGATGGAAAAATTTTGTCCTGTTTGCAGATGACACAAAGATTCATTATGAAATAAACAATAAAAAAAGACTATATCCCTGGAAGAAGACCTGTATAGATTGATCAGTAGTGATAGATGCTTGAAGAAATATAATGTTGACAAATACTACATAACAGAAATAGGAGAAAGCAAAAACAAGCCATATGAAGAACAAACTGTGTGATGAAACATTAAGAATATAAGGTAAAGAGAAGGACCCAAGAGTTATTACTGACAGTCATCAGATCATCTTAATGAAATTGTGATAAACTTCTGCAATATTTCTAAATTTCAAAGCTAATACAGTCTTTAGATATATGTATTGGGAAGTGATAAAAAAAAAAATTGTTCACAGTATGTTAAGACCCAAACTGGTGTATGCAGAAGCGGTAATGTGTCCATGCCTATAAAAAAAAACACCAACGATAAGTTAGAAAAATATCAAGAGCTAAAAAATGACTCACCAATAAGAAAGGAGTTGGAAAGGGAGGCTGATAGATTAAAAATGTAGACATTTTAATATCATCAGTAAAGAGAACAAAATACCATAATTGTAAACTAAGACATGCCAAAAGAATACTAAAGTTGTCTTTTTTAAATGCTTAGTCTTGTAATGAAACGTAGTATTATGAGGCACAACCTCTGGAAATTTAAAGGAAGACTATATTAATTATCCATCACGAAACAGGTAGAGTGTTTGCATAAGACCGGACAACAAAAAAACTTTGCCTGCTACCAAGGTGCTTAATCGACAGAAGGGAAGGGATACTAGCAAAGAAGCTGTATTTAGTCAAATCGAGCAGTGGAATTGACTTAAAATAGAACTCAAAGTGAGCAAAATTATAGATGTGTAAACTGTGCCCAGATCGCTAAGTTAACTCTGCGTTTTTGTAATTCTGGAAGTTTTCCAATAAATCTCGTACTTTTGATGTCAGAAAAAGATTCTCCATCGTTTCAGAAGAATTTTTTTTTTTTTTTTTGAATTGTGGACACTGAGAGCAATATTAATTCTGGGGTCCAGACAGTGAAAGGGTTAAGGGTGGCTGTCTGGTTGAAAGAGGATGCTAGGAGACTCGTTTTGAGCAGTGTTATTATTACAATTTTATTGGGGAAAGCCGAGAAATTTTTTGGGGAGGCTGAAGCCCCCCTAAATCCACTACTGCTGCTGCCCCTGTTTTGATACCATACATCAATACATCAGATCTAAAACAACTGAGAAAAAAATCTTAATTACCAACTTAAAAAAAAAAAAATCAAACTTTTCATGAACAATCTGTACTAATCCATCACACATTCACCATGAAAAAAGATAAATAATGTAGAAAATAATTTCACCTACCTTGTGAACCCAACTCATATAAGAGTAGCCATATTTCTTTGATTACTGCTATAAAAGTAATATAGATTTTTTTTTTTGAGAAGGATGGCCAAAAGATAACAGTTTGAGGTGTGAGAAATCGACTGCAGTCATTTTCAGAAATTTCTTTGAGTGATTTAGTTTTGAATATGAGTGCCAGTTAGAAGGGAAGAGTTAAAGATGGAATACAGTACTTCTTTAGGTATTGATCTAATCTCATAAATATTTACACACCTAAGAAATATTTACTGCATATAGAAAGTTTAAACCATGTGAAATCCTTTGAGAACAATTTCAAAAAATTTCTATGGCTGATTTTAATTTGAGGAAAACAGGTACACGTATGTACTTTTAAAATAAATTCCATATATCTTGATCGATTTTTATTAAAAAATCTGAATGAACAAAACATGCCCCAAAAGAGTATATATACTTTATTGCTAAACAAGGAATGCATTTGATAAACAGAATAAACATTGGCCATATTTCTTTGAATATCTATACAACAATTTTCAAAAGATTTTTGACTGGTTCAGCCTTTGAATACGAGATTCCTGTTGGGTGAGGAAGATTGAGGACTTTCTTTTTTTAACCCTTTATATGGATTATTCATCCTAAATCCAGATGTATCTCTAAGAATGTTCTCTTTCACTGGGAGCTTCAACTTTTCTCCCAAGCTTTAGTAAACAGGAAGTGAAATTCTGTGTATCAGAAGAACATAGACTAATACATGTATATCTACACTACTGTACGTATTAACTCTGAAGAAGTTTAACAATATTACTTTTGATGAAATGAATCAAAACACATCCAAATATAGAGACTATGATGTAAAATTCCAATAGGAAACTTCCTTTAATAAACACATATAAGTGTTGAAACTTTAAATATGTAGATGGAGATATAAATTCATTACCAATATTTACCTAGAAACTAAACTTTTGAAGTTGCTATGAGAGGTTCAAACATAATTATAGTACTACATTTACAGGAATTTGCTAATATGCAAGTACTTATAAGTATTCATTACACTGCTTGTATAAATATAGCATTGTATGACCTTAAGCAAAAACTAGAGTAACATTATTATATCATCACTAACCATGGTATCTCCATTTGGGATATGGTGCTTAAAATCAGCTATAGATGACATTAAATAAGGAATGCGATTGTCGAGCACATCAGCAAGTGCCTCCTGGGCCAACTGTCGGAAACATAAAATAACGCCAATTATCTGCATGCGCGACAAGACACTGTCCACCTCTGTGAAAGAAATTAAAAACTAGTTACAATATGAACATAGAAACACTATCAATATATGCAAAAAATAAAACTCTTAACTCTTGTTCACATCATCTTTACTAACTTTACATATTTTCTGACTCAGCAGCAGTCTCTCACTAAGACAGGGTGACAAAAAGAAGAAAACATATTCACCCAATCACAGTCTTTCCACAGGTGTGTTGACATCACAATCAGATTACCCCTCCGACTGCAATCAGCTAGCTAGATTAAAATTCAACTAACTGGTTTTCCTGAATCCCTTCATAAAAGTTACCCTCCTCACATTCCATCAGATCCATTAAAAACTACTTTTCTCCATTCACTCACATCTAACATGCTCACACAAGCCTACTGGATGCTGAAATCCTCTTGTACCCCTGTCTCCAATAACCCCTGGGACAACCATGTCCCCCATCTACCTTCCACTGCAGATTAATACACCCTCTTCATCAACCTATCCCTGTCCATCCTCTGTACAAGTCCGAACCATCTCAACAACCCCTCCTCAACTCTCTGAATTATACCCTTGGTCACCTCATATTGCCTTTTAACTCCTATGGACTAGATTCTCTAACCTAACCTAACCTGGTAGAGTAGTAGCCCCCCACCACCCCTGTCCTACCTATGACTTGGATTTATTTATGACCAGTAATATATGGTATGCAACATTTACTAAGACATTCCTACTTACGTTGCAACTTCTTGAATAATTCCTTCATTTGGTCAGGTTTGTCAAAATTGGTTCTCATAGAAAGCAAGACATCTTTATTCAGAATTACCAGTTTCTGCAAAAATATAAGCATGCGCACATTAGATCAAAAATCTGTGAATGGGGAACCATTCTATCACTGTGTAATACTGTATTTAACAAAATGAGTTGTTTCCAAAATATACAGAGAACATACTATACCAGAAAAGGAAGTACTAAACAGGTGCAAAACTGATTATTGCTACAGTCATAGGGAAGGGGAAGAGCACTAAACTCAAAGGGGTCACACAGCACTGAAAAACAGAAGGTAATCAGGTTCAAACCAAGGCAAGGGATGTCAAGCCCAATTAACTGGATCAAGAGTCCCTTATTAGCATCACTGTACCTTCCTCAAGGAGAGAGTAGAATTGAGTACCTCAAAGTAAGGAGGGAAGCGAAAAGAATTCATACTGTATATGACATCCAAAGGAAAACAAAATGAAAGCTACTGCAATCATATCTTCACCAATATTCTACTAAACTAGACAAGGGACATTTGCATCAATGGTTTATTTACTGATACAAATTAAGTTGAAGGTTTGCATGAAAAATAATTTAGTAAAGACTCTCTCTTTACATTTAATAATAAGCTGCACAGACAAACTGACGAGTGGTGAGAGGTTTCCCTCTCAGATCCACACTAGAAAATATTTTTATGTTTTCATGACAAAAAATTGGCATAATGTTTGTCCTCCAGATTTTAAATAAAAACTGGGTTGAAGAAAGATTATGAAGGGATAATACTGTACGTAATGCCAGAACATACAATAGATAGAAATCTTCAAGTGGAAATTAGATAAGCTACTGCAGGAGGTGCCTGATCAGACTAGGATGTGATAGATATCTGGGTCTGCAGGCCAAAGGCAGCAACAACCTGGCTTCTCAGGGAAGAATTAACCCTTAAACTGTCCAAATGTAGATCTACGTTTGCTCGCGTAGCGCTCCGAACATAGATCTATTTTTTTTTTTTTTACATTCTTTCTCATGGGGAAAATCAAGGTCGGAGCGCTATGCATGCAAACGTAGATCTACGTTTGGACAGTTTAAGGATTAAAGAAAGAAAAACTTAAATTTCTTGGATCAGGAGCCTTCACCAGCATCGTGCATCCCCCTCGAAGGGAATCTCCCTCCAATAAAATATCTCTGATCTCATTTGCCCACTAATTTTTTTTTTTTTTAATTTCCAATACTAGTTTCTTTCTAAAGTCAAGTTTTTATCAAAGACAACATTTTTAAATCATTCTGGCCACATGCCAGAATGCAAGTGTAGAAAAATTCTTGAAATCAGTCATATGTATGAGGGGAATGGAGAAAAAACTACAAAGAAGTACGGTAACTCTGAAATAATGGACAAGGAATTAATGAGACCTAAGATGGATTTTAACACATCAAATACAAAAAAGAAACTGACAAAATACTGTACATACTGCAATGGATACTAACAGAAGTTGAAGCCCTGTGCAGGCCAGTTGCCCAGATCCTAAACAAATTATTAGTGACAGGGATAGTGTCAAACACCAAGAAGATGGCAAATGTAATTACTGTACAATATTCAGGAAGAGTTAGAGGTGGGAGACCATAACCCACATACCAGTACTCGTCCAGTGCTGTATATGATAGAAAGTAATGGAAAACCATCTACAACAGAAACACATACATAATGTGGAATTCCTCAGAGCAATAGCAACAGACTGGGTATTATTAACATGGATTAAGGAATGCTTGAAAGACTTAAGACAGTCATGGTGAAGAATGAAATATCACCCAAGGATAAATAATAGACCCCCAAACAATTCCTTGTATAGTATATATGAACTAGTAAGGGCACCCTTCTACATACTTCAGTATGCAGATGATGAAAAAAAAATATGAGGATAATACTAATACAAGACCAGTAGAAATTGCTAAAACTGGTAAAACAAGTGTTGTTTTCAGATGGGGGTTGCCTGCATATATTTTAAATAAAGGAGCTAGCACTAACACCTTTATCCCTTTTACCACTTAACATAGCCATGATTGCATTTTTTACATAATCCATGCAAAAACAACCAGACTGACAATGTTAATTACAGATGATGGACAAGTTCTTGGTTAATGGATCATGGGCAGGAGCCTTTTTTATCTCCCCGTTAAGCGATTTTTTTTTTATCAAACTGGCCATATCCCACCAAGGCAGGGCGATCTAAAAAGAAAAATGAAAGCTTCTCTTTTTAAATTTAGTAATATATATACAGGAGAAGGGTTACTAGCACCTCGCTCCCAGCATTTTAGTCGCCCCTTACGACATGCATGGCTTACAGAGGAAGAATTCTAATCCAGTTCTAGTAAGAAAATAGAAGAAACCCAAAGGGGTGTATGTATATATAATCTTGTACATGCATGTGTAGTGTGACCTAAGTGTAAGGAGAAGTAGCAAGACGTACCTGAAATCTTGCATCATTATGAGACAGAAAAAAAGACACAAGAACTCCTACAATCATGTAAAACAATTATCAGGTATTATAGAATCTATTGTAAAATGAAGTAGCAAATAATGACTTGAATAGAGAAAAAGAAAAATACAAAAAGATAGGTTTAATTCTAACAGAAACTTATGCTTAAGTATAGCAGTATTTCAGAGAAACCAAAAGGAATCATATAGTAGCCACTTTATCAATTGGTCTGCTATAATATCCTACTTCTACAGTTAAGATACAGTACTGAATATATATTTTTTGCACCTTCAATTCCTGCACTTGGTTGGCAATATGCCACATTAAGTTTTCATTCAGTGCTTTCATGCCATATGGACCAATAAGCTCTGCTAGCGCTCGAAGTTCATTTATGTCAGAGAATTCTTCTGCAGCAAAGGGTTGGGCTCCCTCAGCAGTCAGGGACACAAAAGCACGCTGATTGTTAGAGAAAACAATATGTCCTGCACTGACACGACGTAGGAGAATTTCCGAGTACCTGGAGAGTTGCAAAGACAGATATGATTAAGTTTCAAAAACATACTATATATCAGTGCTTGTCAATATTTAAATACATAATTCATTTATCTTGCTGGTAGGAGGACTAATCATATTTCCTTGTCACTTTAGTCTCTGTGCTTGTTTGATCTAGTAGATCATTCTACAGAGACTAACCATTTTAGGAAAAACAAAATTATTATTTTATTAACACACTGGCCGATTCCCAACAAGGCAGGGTGGCCCGAAAAAGAAAAACTTTCACCATCATTCACTCCATCACTGTCTTGCCAGAAGGGTGCTTTACACTACAGTTTAAACTGCAACATTAACACCCCTCCTTCAGAGTGCAGGCACTGTACTTCCCATCTCCAGGACTCAAGTCCGGCCTGCCGGTTTCCCTGAATCCCTTCATAAATGTTACTTTGCTCACACTCCAACAGCACGTCAAGTATTAAAAACCATTTGTCTCCATTCACTCCTATCAAACACACTCACGCATGCCTGCTGGAAGGCCAAGCCCCTCGCACACAAAACCTCCTTTACCCCCTCCCTCCAACCTTTCCTAGGCCGACCCCTACCCCGCCTTCCTTCCACTACAGACTGATACACTCTTGAAGTCATTCTGTTTCGCTCCATTCTCTCTACATGTCCAAACCACCTCAACAACCCTTCCTCAGCCCTCTGGACAACAGTTTTGGTAATCCCGCACCTCCTCCTAACTTCCAAACTACGAATTCTCTGCATTATATTCACACCACACACTGCCCTCAGACATGACATCTCCACTGCCTCCAGCCTTCTCCTCGCTGCAACATTCATCACCCATGCTTCACACCCATATAAGAGCGTTGGTAAAACTATACTCTCATACATTCCCCTCTTTGCCTCCAAGGACAAAGTTCTTTGTCTCCACAGACTCCTAAGTGCACCGCTCACCCTTCTCCCCTCATCAATTCTATGATTCACCTCATCTTTCATAGACCCATCTGCTGACACGTCCACTCCCAAATATCTGAATACATTCACCTCCTCCATACTCTCTCCCTCCAATCTGATATCCAATCTTTCATCACCTAATCTTTTTGTTATCCTCATAACCTTACTCTTTCCTATATTCACTTTTAATTTTCTTCTTTTGCATACCCTACCAAATTCATCCACCAACCTCTGCAACTTCTCTTCAGAATCACCCAAGAGCACAGTGTCATCAGCAAAGAGCAACTGTGACAACTCCCACTTTGTGTGTGATTCTTTATCTTTTAACTCCACGCCTCTTGCCAAGACCCTCGCATTTACTTCTCTTACAACCCCATCTATAAATATATTAAACAACCATGGTGACATCACACATCCCTTGTCTAAGGCCTACTTTTACTGGGAAATAATCTAACATACTCTAACTTGAGCCTCACTATCCTCGTAAAAACTCTTCACTGCTTTCAGTAACCTACCTCCTACACCACACACCTGCAACATCTGCCACATTGCCCCCTATCCACCCTGTCATACGCCTTTTCCAAATCCATAAATGCCACAAAAACCTCTTTAGCCTTATCTAAATACTGTTCACTTATATGTTTCACTGTAAACAAAAATACGTACACAGATTAGCATCATACTCATTCCTAGTCTACTGTGTATCAGCATAGTGTGAAACCTTTAAAAGATAATTAAAAATATTCATTTCCAAAAAACTGTATACCAGCACTGTGTAAAGCACTGAATAAAGAAACTCAAAATTAATTTCATAGATTCCTGAATAATATTTAAAAAGTATGAAAGCTCATTACATTTCCAATTTCATTTTCTATTTTCCCTATACTACTCATTCTTGTCTGAGACACAACATATCAAGTCAGAGAATAGAATATTCTGTCTTTTACTAACCTGAATTACAAGATTAGGTTAATGATCCCAACTCTGTCAAACATTCATGGTTCACAGTTATGGTCAAAGCAGCATCAGTATCTTACTTTTATCAATGCATTTACTAGTTACTCATTCATTCATGTTGTTTCATTAGTGTTTTTCATTCACCATCAATATCTAGAACACAAACTAAACAAAGTAATGTTCACACCATGAGTTGTAGTGTGCAGTGATTGTCTTCTCTCCATGGCTGTCTTGAAGCTGAGTTTGCTGAAGGAGGACGTTGTTGAACACTCGAGTGATGTCGATGTGTACTGTCATTAATTCCAAGAGATATTAACTTGAGCTTCATAATATACTTTTTTACACATTTAATACTGTATCCAACTGGTCCCTTTATCCCACTTACGTAAATAGCTGGTTATATAATACAGTACTATGGTTACTACACAGTATTAATTTCTGATAGTATTAACATCTATGGATTAACAATATAAAAAACAATGCAGTAATAAAAAGTATTATTATACTGTACAATCAAAAACCAGCAGGGTAGATATGTGTAAAGTTGTTCAGAATTTGTTACTCACCATAATATTCAACTGTCTGCAGAACACTCATATATGTTTTGACACTTGCTACCAATTCTGAAGGCTTAGCAATCTCATTAGTATCAGGATTGTACATAACCATCCCAACTAAGGCTCGTGTAAACCTGACAAAAGAATTCTTTTGTTACAAGAATGCATAAATTGAAACAACAGTATAAATCAACCTAACAGTAATTAATGCAATTAAACTCTATTTCTAAAAGTTGAGAAAAGAGAAAGAGAAAAGGGAAAAGAGAGAGAGAGAGAGGGGGGGGGGGTAACCCACCACGAAATACACTGTACGTACTTGGAACTGTATACCCATGCTTAGTAATTGTTGATAATATTAATGTATAAAGGTGCTTCACAATGTATATACATAGCAACATGATTTAAAAACAAGAATAAAATATTACTTGGCACAGCATAATGTTGTAAACTGAAATTACAATAGTACAGTGGAACCTCTACTTGCGAGCGCATCCATGTGTGAGTTTTTCCAAATACAAGCAGTCGATGGGTCGATTTTTTGTTTCCATACGCGAACAAAATTTCCATAAGCGAGCAGACCTCAAAGTAGGTTCCTTGACACTGGTGAGGGGTTCTTGCTCTTGATCTAGGGAATTGTATCTCATTTGTTTGTTGGACTATCTTATTGAAACTTGGGCAATGTATGATGGAAAGATGCTTCTTAACGTACACCAAAAATGAAAGAAATCTAAGCATGAATAATGGAGTTCACTTCTCAGCAATTAGCCACCCCTTAGCAGTATTTTCTTATGGTCTTTATGGTTGTATTCTCGTTTTTTTTGGTCTTATTTGATAGAATGGAAGATATATTACAGAAAACAGATATGATTTTGATAGCTTTCACGACGAAAAGTACCTTGAAATTGAGCTCAACACAGGAGAAATGTTCGATTGTTTTGGCTATGTTCAAGAGTAAACAAATGACTTCACTGTCCATTCCGACATGCAGTCGTGAATGGGTTGACATTATTTATACAATTATTGCAATATTGCAATAAGGCATAACAGTAAATCTTATATTTTTTGTGTGAATAAAAATTACAAATTATTTATACTGTAATAATAATATATAGGTAGTAAGTTGGTAGACAGCAGCTGCCCAGGGAGGTACTACCGTCCTGCCAATTGAGTGTAAAGCGGAAACCTGTAATTGTTTTACATGATGGTAGGATTGCTGGTGTCTCTTTTCTGTCTCATAAACATGCAAGATTTCAGGTATATCTTGCTACTTCTACTTACACTTAGGTCACACTGCACATACATGTTTTTTTTTTTTTCCAACAAGTTGGCCATCTCCCACCGAGGCAGGGTGACCCAAAAAAGAAAGAAAATCCCCAAAAAGAAAAATGCTTTCATCATCATTCAACACTTTCACCACACTCACACATAATCACTGTTTTTGCAGAGGTGCTCAGAATACAACAGTTTAGAAGCATATACATATAAAGATACACAACATATCCCTCCAAACTGGCAATATCCCAAACCCCTCCTTCAAAGTGCAGGCACTGTACTTCCCATTTCCAGGACTCAAGTCTGACTATATGAAAATAACCTGTTTCCCTGAATTTTTTTTTTTTTTTTTTTTTTTTTTTTCAACAAGTCGGCCGCTCCCACCGAGGCAGGGTGACCCAAAAAAAAAAAGAAAATCCCAAAAAGAAAATACTTTCATCATCATTCAACACTTTTCACCACACTCGCACATTATCACTTTTTTTTGCAGAGGTGCTCAAATACAACATTTCTAGAAGCATAAACATATAAAGATACCCCAACATATCCCTCCAAACTGCCAATATCCCAAACCCCTCCTTTAAAGTGCAGGCATTGTACTTCCCATTTTCCAGGACTCAAGTCCGACTATATGAAAATAACCGGTTTCCCTGAATCCCTTCACTAAATATTACCCTGCTCACACTCCAACAGATCGTCAGTCCCAAGTACCATTCGTCTCCATTCACTCCTATCTAACACGCTCACGCACGCTTGCTGAAGTCCAAGCCCCTTACCCACAAAACCTCCCTTTTCCCCCTCTCTCCAACCCCCTTTTGAGGACGACCCCTACCCCGCCTTCCTTCCCCTATAGATTTATAGCTTTCCATGTCATTCTAAATGTGATCCATTCCTCTAAATGACCAAACCACCTCAACAACCCCCCTTTTGCCCTCTGACTAATACTTTTATTAACTCCACCACCTTCTCCTAATTTTCCCCACTCCGAATTTTCTGCATAATATTTACACCACACATTGCCCTTAAACAGGACATCTCCGCTGCCTCCAACCGTCTCCTCGCTGCTGCATTTACCACCCAAGCTTCCACACCCATATAAGAGTGTTGGTACACTATACTTTCAACATTCCCTTCTTTGCCTCCATAGATAACGTTTTTGACTCCACATATACCTCAACGCACCACTCACCTTTTTTTCCCCCCATCAATTCTATGATTAACCTCATCCTTCATAAATCCATCCGCCGACACGTCAACTCCCAAGTATCTGAAAACATTCACTTCTTCCATACTCCTCCTCCCCAATTTGATATCCAATTTTCTTTATCTAAATCATTTGACACCCTCATCACCTTACTCTTTTTTATGTTCACTTTCAACTTTTTCTACCTTTACACACATTCCCAAACTCATTTCCCCTAACCTTTGCAATTTTTTTAGAATCTCCCATAAGCACAGTATCATCAGCAAAAAGTAACTGTGTCAATTCCCATTTTGAATTTGATTCCCCATAATTTAATCCCACCCCTCTCCAAACACCTAGCATTTACTTCCTTTACAACCCCATCTATAAATATATAAACAACCATGGTGACATTACACATCCCTGTCTAAGACCTACTTTTACCGGGAAGTAGTCTCCCTCTCTTCTACAACACCCTAACCTGAGCCTCACTACCTCATAAAAACTTTTTACAGCATTTAATAACTACCACCTATTCCATTACTTGCAACATCTGCCACATTGCCCCTCTATCCACTCTACATATGCCTTTTCTAAATCCATAAATGCAATAAAAATTTCCCATCTTTATCTAAATACTGTTCACATATATGCTTCAATGAAAAACACCTGATCTACACATCCCCCTACCCACTCTAAAACCTCCTTGCTCATCCGCAATCCTACATTCTGTCTTACCTCTAATTCTTTTCAATTATAACCCTACGTACATTTTTTCCTGGTATACTCCAGTAAGCTTTTTCCCTATAATTTTTACAGTCTCTTTTTTTCCCCTTTCCCTTTATATAAAGGGACTATACATGCTCTCCCCAAATTTCCCTAGTACCTTCCCCTCTTTCATACATTTATTAAACAAAAGTACCAACCACTCCAACACTATATCCCCCCCTGCTTTTAACATTTCTGTCATGATCCCATCATTCCACTGCTTTAACCCCCTTTCATTTACGTAATGCCTAAAGGGTACCTCCCCCACACTTACATTCTGCTCTTCTTCACTCCTAAAAGATGGTATACCTCCCTGACCAGTGCATGAAATTACTGCCTCTGTTTCTTCTTAACATTTAAAAGTTCCTCAAAATATTCTCGCCATCTACCCATACCTCCACCCTCCCCATCTACTAACTCCCCTACTCTGTTTTTTAACTGACAAATCCATATTTCCTGGGCTTTCTTAACTTGTTTAAACTCACTCCAAAATTTTTTCTTATTTTCATTAAAATTCTTGACAGTGCCTCCCCCACTCTATCATCTGCTCTCCTTTGCACTCTCTCACCACTCTCTTTACCTTTCTTTTCCCTCCCATATACTCTGCTCTTCTTATAACACTTCTGCTTTGTAAAAACCTCTCATAAGCTCCCTTTTTTTCTCTTTTATCACACCCTTTACTTCATCATTCCACCAATCACTCCTCTTTCCTCCTGCCCCCCCCTCCTATAACCACAAACTTCTGCCCCACATTCTAATACTGCATTTTTAAAACTAATCCAACCCTCTTCAACCCCCCCACTACTCATCTTTGCACTAGCCCACCTTTCTGCCAATAGCGCTTATATCTCACCCGAACTTCCTCCTCCCTTAGTTTTATACACTTTCACTTCCCTCTTACTTGTTGTTGCCACCTTCCTCTTTTCCCATCTACCTCTTACTCTAACGTAGCTACAACTAAATAATGATCCCCATATATCAGTTGCCCCTCTATAAACATGTACATCCTGGAGCCTACCCATCAACCCTTTTATCCACCAATACATAATCTAATAAACTACTTTCATTACGTGCTACATCATACCTTGTATATTTATTTATCCTCTTTTTCATAAAAATTATTACTTATTACCAAATTTCTTTCTACAAAATAGCTCAATTAAAAGCTCCCCATTTTTCATTTACCCCTGGCACCCCAAATTTACCTACTACTTCCCCCCATAACATTTTTACCCACTTTAGCATTAAAATCCCCAACCACCATTACCTCACACTTGATTCAAAACTCCCCACGCATTCACTCAACATTTCCCAAAATCTCTCTCTCCCTCTACACTTTCTCTTCTCCAGGTGCATACACGCTTATTATAACCCACTTTCACATCCAAAACTTTATTTTACTCCACATAATCCTTGAATTAATACATTTATAGTCCTCTTTTCCTCCATAGCTTATCCTTCAACATTATTGCTACTCCTTCTTTAGCTCTAACTCCCATTTGAAACCCCCGACCTAATCCCATTTATTCCTCTCCCCTGAAACCTCCCACCCCCTCAGCTTTGTTTCACTTAAAGCCAGGACATCCAGCTTCTTCTCATTCATAACATCCACAATCATCTCTTCTTATCATCTGCACAACATCCACGCACATTCAGACTTCCCACTTTGACAATTTTCTTTTTCTTATTCTTTTTAGTAATCTTTACAGGAAAAGGGGTTACTACCCATTGTTTCCCGGCATTTTAAATTGACTTTTACAACACGCATGGCTTACGGAGGAAAGATTCTTATTCCACTTCCCCCCTGGATATAAAAGGAAAATTAATAAACCAAGAACTATTAAGAAAATAAAATCAAAGAAAACTCAGATGAGGGGTTATAAATAAATTGACATGTTTTGGTGTAGTGGA